GCGACGGCGGGTGGGCGCGGGGGTGGCGGGGGTCGAGGCTGGCCGCTAACCAGGCCGGCCGTGGCCCGGCGCTGCACTCGGACGCCACTTTCGCCACCGTTGTGTAACGCCATGCATCAGCGCTGCTCCGCGGTGCCGTAAACGATGCACACTGACGCGCCGGCCACGCTGGCCGCGCCCGTCGACGGCCATCTATCAGAGCGGCGCTTTCTCCGCGTCTCTGATGACGGCCGGCTCGGGAGTCGGTACCGCGGCACCCCCTCCCCTCAGCTCCCCCCCCCCTCACCTGGCTGGTGTCTGGCCGGCTCGGGGGTCGGTACCGCGGTGCCCCCCTCCCCTCAGCCCCTGCTCCCCGCGGCACACCTGGCTGGTGTCTGGCCGGCTCGGGGGGTCAGTACCGCGGCGCCCCCCTCCCCTCAGCCCCCCCCCCGCGGTACATCTGGCTGGTGTCTGACCGGGTCGGGGTCGGTACCGCGGCGCCCCCCTCCCCTCAGCCCCCCCCCCCTCCCACACCTGGCTGGTGTCTGGCCGGGTCGGGGGTCGGTACCGCGGCGCCCCCTCCCCTCAGACCCCCTCCCCCACACCTGGCTGGTGTCTGGCCGGGTCGGCGGCCGATTGGCGTCGGAGATCGGTGGCGGGCCAGGATTTACGACTGCGGTCGGGCCGAGGCTGTCGTCGCATTCGGCAGTTGGGGCCTCTGTCTCGTGATGGACGCTCCCACTGCCGGTGTTCCCCGTCACTTCGATGATTCAGACGGCTGAAGGTGTGGTAGGACACGGCGCTCAGCCAGCTCTCCGCTGGCTTATCTGTCTGTACATGGACTGGGTGCGGCATCTGTGGTCTGGAAAATGCAGGCGAAGGTCGGATTCTGTCATCTTTATTAGAGGAATGAGCCTTACTGAACTGGTCCCCATTGAGAAGGAATCAGCATCCGAACATGGTCCGCATTTCGACCACGATAAAGCCATAAGAATGTAAAAATATTCATCTGCACAATAGCGGTAGCCCTCATCCACGTTACGACCCACTGCGTCGGAAAGCCAGAAATCTGTATGCTGTACCTCAAGATGTTCAGTCTTCAAGCGCAATTCATTCTAACGTTGCGGCGCAATGTAGACTAACTCTCTGTACCCTGTGACATTCTTTTCGGTTGTTAATTAGAGGCCAAAATGCAAAGTGAAATGCGGTCCGTAGCCACTTTAAAGATGTAGCTTCGCAGGAATATTTAACGGTAAGATAAAAGAATACAAGACCAAAAGCCAACATTAACACCAGAAGATGCCGCAGGCTGTCTGTGCATTTAGCTAAAGAAATTCATTTCCGAGGGGCCTGTCCTTGAACGGCATTCTCTGGAGCGACACCATGCAGTTGCGGCAGTGTGTCACCTGAGCACAGGTAACTCCTGAGCAGTATAACACAGCTGAAATGACAATCACTTTAGGGCGTGTCACTCCGCTGCACCGCGTTCGTGCTTTGAAGGCTGTGTTAGTCATGGGATGGTCTGTCGGCGCTCGTTTTTCTCCAGCGCACGCCCGCTGTACAACCAAGCTGGACTGCCAACACGGGCGGTCTCGAAACCCCAGCGGAAAGCCGGTGACACAGCACCAAGTAGGAAAGTCAAGACGTTGGCTGTACTGTTCAATCCCTTCCAGTGGAATCTTTACACACATCAGTCTTTACACACATCAATCTTTACACACATCAATCTTTACACACATCAATCTTTACACACATCAGTCTTTACACTCATCAATCTTTACACACATCAATCTTTACAAACATCAATCTTTACACACAGTAAACACACGGATTCTAAAGCACCATATCTACATTTTCATAACAGGCACGCAGACCACTTACCGTATGCACACTGAAGGCCCTACAACGCGAGTAAAAATGTTTAGATGAGGAAGCCAGTTTTCCAGTGATTATGGCTGCGCTGGAACCAGTTGGAAAAGCATGTACGCATAGAGCAATAGCCTCCACCAATGCTTGTCGAACCTTTGCCATACTTGATGCAAAGGGGCACGCAAAGGTTTGCCGACGATCGTGTGTGTGTGTGTTCACGGATGCGTTTTTTGCGGATCTGATGGTAGAGATTGTACTGCCTTTCGTGGTAGCACCCGCACGAACATGTCATATATCACCCGTATCAGCACCCGCACGAACATGTCATATATCACCCGTATCAGCACATTTAGGTAAATGCCTAATTAATGATGAGTTCTTATCTGATGTGGCCTTACAAACAACAATCTGCTCGCCAAACAAAAGTGAGCTAAATGTTTCTTTACGATCTGTTGAGATGTGCTTTACACCAACAGATCTTCGCCGTTGCCATGGGCGGCATCGCCTTGTAACTAATGATTAAACAATGGGCGTCACCCAGACGAGAGCATCTGAGCCGATGGAGGGACGCTGTTTGGCCATTCCTCGCAGTCAAGGCCTTATGGAGAGAGCCCAATGTTTGCATCGACTAAGAACATCCATTGCGCGGTCCATCTAGCCATCAGTTCACTAAAACTTGCAGCAATGGGCATGGCTATGGTGGACGCATTTGATAGCTGATGTGGTGAACATGGTCGTTAACGCCGGGCGTAGCTGCATGTGGGACGCACAGCCCAGGGAGGGGGATAACGTTCGCTCTTCGGCTCGGCGTGGCCAAACGAGAAGCAACGACAGCAGCGACATTATATTGCCACATGACTTGTCATGCATACGTCATACCGCTGATGCCTGGCCTCTGGCTACTGACGCCCGGCCTCTGACTACCGACGCCTGACGTCCGGCTACTGACGCCCGGCCTCTGGCTACCGATGCCTGACCTCCGGCTACTGACGCCCGGCCTCTGACTACCGACGCCTGACCTCCGGCTACTGACGCCCGGCCTCTGGCTACCGATGCCTGACCTCCGGCTACTGACGCCCGGCCTCTGACTACCGATGCCTGACCTCCGGCTACTGACACTCGGCTTCTGACTACCGATGTCCGACCTCCGGCTACTGACGCCCGGCCTCTGACTACCGATGCCTGACCTCCGGCTACTGACGCCCGGCCTCTGACTACCGACGCCTGACCTCCGGCTACTGACACTCGGCTTCTGACTACCGATGCCTGACCTCCGGCTACCGACGCCTGACCTCCGGTTACTGACGCTAGGCTTTTGACTACCGATGTCCGACCTCCGGCTACTGGCACTCGGCTTCTGGCTTCTGACACCCGGCCTCTGGATACTGACGCGTTTCCTCTGGTTACTGACCTCTGGCCTCTGACTACCGGCGTCCGGCCTCTGACTTCTGAAGCGTTACCTCTGGCTAGTGACGTCCGGCCTCTGACTACCGGCGTCCGGCCTCTGACTTCTGAAGCGTTACCTCTGGCTAGTGACGTCCGGCCTCTGACTTCTGAAGCGCTGCCTCTGGCTAGCGACGTCCGGCCTGTGACCGCTGGCGTCCGGCCTCCGACTTCTGAAGCGCTACCTCTGGCTAGTGACCTGACGAGCCTGCCGGTGACGTCCGGGGCGATGCTGCCCGGGCGCGTGCCACGCCTGCGTCGCCCAGCGACCGGTCGCCGCCGGCCGCCCGGTGACTCAGGATGGCTGCTCCCCGGCACCGGGACCGGCGGGCGCGTGCCTCTGTCGGCCCGCTGACCGTGAGACTGATGAGCTATTCTGCTGACACGCGGGCGGTCGCCGGCGGTCATGAATGGCGCGAGGGTGTGCGGGCCCGACACGCGCGCTCGAAGCCTTTAAAGGAAGTGAAGGTCGCGACCGAGAACCACTAATGAGGAAAACAGACTGAGGTTTAACCCTGAACTGGAAATGATAAAGCGCGCGTGATAAATCACCACAACTGGCCGCGTCGCGCTGGGTTGTGGGACGTTTCGCCAGCTCCCCTTTGGCCAGAGTGTCCACTCCAAGTGGGGTAGGTTGTCCGCCGCAAATTGTGCAGTATCGTACAATAAAGACATTTGACACGATCCGATCACTGGCACCGATATACGCTAAAAAATCCATGAATCCTAAGACAATCAAAATTCAAGTCTCGTGTGTACCTTTGCTTTTGCTGAAGGATGTTATTTGGGCACCGGCAGAGAAACATGCTGGTATGCAGATGTTGCAATCAAGGCTAGTACATCATCGTTGAGATTATTTGGGAATATGTTTAAATCATCGCACGAATGCGCGCCGACATAGGAGCTTCTGGAGTCATTTTACCAAAGCTAACACACGGTCTTTAATCTGAGGTGTGTGTGACTGTTTGCACGCTCCATTATACGCGCTTTGTTGTTCTACCCCACCTTCAAAGTTCGCAAGGATGGGTCGCGAGCAGGCGCAGTGCCGCCATGTGATGAGGTCGCGAGCAGGTGCAGTGCTGCCATGTGATGAGGTCGCGAGCAGGTGCAGTGCCGCCATGTGATGAGGTCGCGAGCAGGTGCAGTGCTGCCATGTGATGAGGTCACGAGCAGGTGCAGTGCTGCCATGTGATGAGGTCACGAGCAGGTGCGGTGCCGCCATGTGATGAGGTCGCGAGCAGGTGCAGTGCCGCCATGTGATGAGGTCACGAGCAGGTGCGGTGCCGCCATGTGATGAGGTCGCGAGCAGGTGCAGTGCCGCCATGTGATGAGGTCACGAGCAGGTGCAGTGCTGCCATGTGATGAGGTCACGAGCAGGTGCGGTGCCGCCATGTGATGAGGTCGCGAGCAGGTGCAGTGCTGTCATGTGATGAGGTCACGAGCAGGTGCAGTGCTGCCATGTGATGAGGTCACGAGCAGGTGCAGTGCCGCCATGTGATGAGGTCAAGAGCAGGTGCAGTGCTGCCATGTCAGATTGTACTGGTCATTGTCCAGTCTGCATTTCACCTGTCTTCCGTGGTGCTGGCGAGCCACGTGCGTCTGCAGACCGCCACTTGCGCCCCGTGACGCCGCCCCCCCCCCCCCCGTCTGACCTGGCTGACCTGGCTCTCTGACCTGGCTGACCTCTGTCGCCCTCTGTCCGACCACAGGGATGACCCACAACTCGAGTGTGCTGCTGTACCGGGCCGGTCAGCAGGCGTCCGGCGCGCTCCAGCTGTTCGCCGAGAAGGGCGACTCGGCCGGCCTGGAGACGAATGCCCAGGGTGACCTGGGCGTGCTGGACCAGTTCACGGCGCCGGCCGTCACGCAGGGAGAGGGCACCACCCACTCGCAGCTCTTCGTCGACGGCGTCCACTCCAAGGTACGGCGCCGGCGCCGCCGCTGGCGGAGGGGACGGCGTGTGCTGGTGGTCGGTGGTAATGGCGACTGGGCGTACTGTGTCCACGATGTATGCGAAGTGCTTGGCATCTCTCGGTGCATCGTTTGAAATAGAGTGTTTCTGTCATCACCTCACTGAGATTTACAAGGCTCAGGATGCTCATACAGTTTAAAGTTCAAGGATGCGGCTGACAAAAACCACGTGCATGAAGTGCAGGTTCGCCCAGGAGGTTTGCAGACGTGGTTTTGATCAACGCGGGCTTCTCTCGCTTATGAAAACGCAGGCCGTCGCTGCTCTCGGAACACGCGTGAGTCAGACGCGCCTGCGCAGATTGCGTGACCGGCGGGGGCCCCTTTGTTTATAAATATGTCTGCACCTTTCACCCACCTCAGGCTTTGATCAAAGTGGGCAGCGTACACGCTCACATGCGTCCGAGTTGAGCAAGACACACAAACAGCGCTCGGTGCTGGCCGACAGGTGTCGAGATCAGACAGGTGTCGAGACCGGCGCGGCGCGGTCGTGTTTGGACGGCGCCCGTCGCGGCGCGTGCTCGCGGGCAGGGTCGAGCGCCGAGGCCGGTCTCGATCCATCAGCACCGCCCGTGGCCGCGGCGGCGGGGGGGGGGGTGTGAGCTCAGTGCGGCTGGGCTTCTCTGCCGGCCAGGTCCGGCTCTGACCCGGCCGGCAGGCGGCCGGCGACCTGCAAAAGGGTCCAGACGACCCACCGCCTGAGGCGAAGTCTGAAGAGGCCCATTATGATGCACCCCGGAGTAGCAAACCAGTAATAAAGGGAGACTGCCGTGGTGGATGTGCCATGTTATACGCACCTCAGCAAATCAGACAGCACCCGCCTTACATCAGATGGATGGAAGAACAAGGATAATTGGCTATTGACCTGATGGCCACTGAGCACGCTATGACGATAAAGGATTTATTGCTGTGCTAATATCCCATTTCCCGGGCTTCAATAGTACGGCATGAAGCCCATCGAGTGGTGCGCGCTCGGACATCACGTTAAAGGGACCGGCGGTGCTGTATTTAGAAGATGGTTCGACTTGGGGAAACAATCTGGCAATAGCGCGCCGGTTGTCTGGGGCAGCAAGGCACCTTCAGCATGGCATGCTGACCGCAAGCCCTACAATGGCAGCGGTATCAGATATGCCGGCGCCTGTGGCCAGACCCTAATTTGCAGTGTCTGAACCCAAAGGCTGATAGCTAAGCTCACTCGTAAAGAAGATGAGAGTCACAGCATGCATAACATCATGGTGGTTGAATACCGAACTGTCTCATTTAATCCATGTTCAAGCTTTAAGAGTCAGGCAATATTTGCATTTACATATTGAAATACTTCATGGTGACTAGATAACAGCACGAAGCGGAAATAAAACAGCCAATAAACATCATGGATGTAAATGCTTAGTCAGTGCTTTACCACACACCGCTATACCTGTTAAGGCTTCACAAGGCTATGCCTATTGTCGGCACGCCACATATTTCACAGTCGATCGTTTTTGGCTGTGGCGATGCGCTAACGTCAACGTTTATACTTGCCACCTGTCTTTTGTTTTCGCAGTGTTTACGTGACTTTGAATCTGCCACCAAACTATTCCGTTGTGTTTACGTGACTTTGAATCTATCACTAAACCGTTTCCCGAAATGCCCGGCCCCAGACTGGATCCCGAACATCGACACCCCGACGCGTCAGTACGTCACCACTGCGCCTGATGGGCCGGGGCTTCTGACGAGCCAACATGAGTGGAGTCTAGCCCCCCCCCCCCCTACAACACGCCCCCCCCCCCCCTGCGGGCCGCGACGATGCCATCTGTCCGTGTGAAGCTGGAGGCGGCTCCCTGCGACGAGCCGGCCGAAGACAAACATGATAGATCGGCAGTGGTTCTCATCAGTCGACGCGGAAGCCATCACAAGGTGGCCAAAACAGCGGGAGGCGCTGCTGTACGTCCGGTAGCCAGACCTCAAGCGGCCGCACCTCCAACTGGGGTGTGCCGTCCCAGCAGGGCTGACCAGAGCGAGATGCACCGTCGAGCCGCACCCTCATCGCGGCCGGCCCAGTCGCCTGGCCCTCCGCGCGGCTGGCCCAGCCCCCCTGGGCCATGATCAGAGCACTGCCGCCGGCGGCAGTACATCGGGTGTCGTCAGCCGTTGTCAAGCTCTGCTGGACCGGACAGCGGTATCGTTCCGGGCGTGACGCTTGCAGCGTGCAGATCAATCGCTGCGCGCCGCCAGCGCTACAGCAGGGCTCTGTTCTCCATCCCACTCGTTTCCTCCCACGCGCTGACGTTGAGTTGACATGCGTTGGCCGCGCCTCTTGCGGGGGCGGAAAGGGCGGAGGAGACGGCCGCTCCCCTCCGCTTCGTGCCACGATGGGTGACGTGACATCACTGGATGACGTGACGTTCGGTCTGCTGGTGCCCTGATGTGCGGTCACTTGGTAACGTGACGTCTGTTCACCGGGTGGCGTGACACGCAGCCACCGGGTGCCTTCCAGCCGCGGACACGGCGTCGTCCCGTCCGCCTGACCTTGGCCGGGTGATTAGCCGCGTCTGCAGCGGCCGCGCCGATGAATGCCAAGCCGAGCGCCGGGGCAGCACCGCCGAGGCACGTCATTCAGGCCGCGGCGGCGTCCAGCTGTCTCCGGACCCGGCCTGCCGATCGGCGCCGCGCCAGGCACGCCGCGGAGCGGGCCCGCTGACAAACCGGACCGGACCCGCCGGGACCCGAACCGGAACCGGGACCCAGGACCCGGTGCCAGGACGGGGTCACTCGGCGGCGGCGCGGCCGTGGGAGGCGCTATTTGCGGGCAGCGCGCGTGGGCGGACGGAAGGCCGACAGACCCTGGGCTGAGCCGGTGCTGTCGGACAGGATGGGCGGGCGCCGTCGGACGGCCGCCGCCGGCCGCTGCCTCTGATCCGCTCCAGTTCTGTCCAGGAGCGCACAAGTGCTTGGCCGGTCAGGGCCGGGCCGGCTCGGTCGCCGTATCGGCCGGATGGGTCGGAGCGCCATCAACTGGCGAGACCCGAGGTCGGGGGCCGCCAGCACAGGCCCGCCTCCACTGCACCTTTGAGCCCGGTATGACTCGAGGTCAGGGGTCGCGGCACAGTCCAGTCTCCTTTTCACCTCTGAGCACGGCATGGTCCGAGGTCAGGGGGTCGCGGCACAGGCCAGTCCCCTTTTTACCTCTGAGCACGGCATGGTCCGGGGTCAGGCGCCGCGGCACAGGCCAGCCTCCCTTTTACCTCTGAGCACGGCATGGTCCGGGGTCAAGGGCCGCGGCACAGGCCAGTCTCCTCCGCACCTCTGAGCACGACATGGTCCGGGGTCAGGGGCCGCGGCACAGTTCAGTCTCCTCTGCATCTCTGAGCACGGCATGGTCCGGGGTCAGGGATCTCGGCACAGTCCAGTCTCCTCTGCATCTCTGAGCACGGCATGGCCCGGGGTCAGGGGTCTCGGCACATATTGGTCTTCACTACAGCTCTGAGCTCAGCTCCGCTTTCAATAAGTCAAAGGCCCTCCACGTGATGGATGACGTTGTTCGGGCTGTTGGACCTTGTAGCACAACTGTTCTTTATTGCGCATCATCCATGAATTTCCTGTCGTAGCAATAGTCGCGATCAATTAAGTACACGGCGAAAGGAAACGTTGAAGGACAATGTTAAGTGCACTTCTGAAGACGCCATTGTCAGATTGAAATGAATCTCACGTGCGCTGCACGATCGGACCGAACACCAGATTGCTGCGCAGTTATCTGCCTGTGTTGCCTGTCGTGTGATGATTTTCATAAGCCTGCCCCGTCTCGGTTTCCCTCGGTTCAGTAATATCGACTCTGTTGTTGATTTCGCTGGTCGTGTGTGAATCCGAACATGACCGACAGCTTATCACCTCGCTTGAGACATCAAAGCGCTGTATGGCTCCATCTGTTACGAATTCCTCCCATGTCGACGGGTGTGTATTTCTAAAGTCACGCGTGCACCCATACTGTGTATGTGTGCCTCAGGTGTCGATGATCTCTAAGATCGTGCCGTCTCCCGACTGGTTCATCGGCATCGACAGCCTGGAGCTCTGCGAAGACGGACACTGGATCGACACACTGGATGTCAAGGTACGCACGAGCCCGTCTCTGCAGTTAGGCGTGCGGAGAGAAGGAGGGTGGGGGTGGGGGGTCCGTCGGCTCCATGCTTTGGTTGCGAGTGGTGGACTGAAGTCTTTCAGCGCGATCACAGTTTTCGTGCGATTGTGTTTATGTGATCAAATCCGTCAGTGTGGGGACCATTTCAACGCTGCTAAGCTCTATCATGCCAACTGCATTATTGAACGGTCTTAGTCAGGCAACTCACCGCCCGCCCGAATCTAAGGGTCACTTGTTCACGCGGTGAGACAGGGGCCGGCGGCAGGGGCGGTTGGCCTGTCTGGAGGTCACTTGTCCGCGGGGTCCGCCGGAGCACCTTTGCCGGACTGCGCGCGCCGAGGCCGAGGTGGGCGGGGACCCGATCGCGGCCAGTCCCAGACAGACAGTCCCCCCTCCCGCGGCAGCTGGCCAGCCAGGCGGAGTGACCGGTGGCAGTGTTTGGACGGCCGCCGCTGACCCGGTTGGCGGCCTTGGCTCGCCGGCACGTGGCGGCCCGCCATGCATGCAGCTATGCGGGGTTGGTCGGCCCGGCGCGGCCCGGCCGGCTTTAGATCGGCCGCGATCGAGGCCCTGTTTCCGACGGAGCACCGCTCATTGAGTCGCTTCTATCGTCGCATCGCGCCGACGCTGTCCTGGAGGTGCGACCGATGCATAATTCACGCGGCCGGAAAGCGGTCGAGTCGGTCGCGGATATCCCGCGCGATCGCGCAAGGTGCTGGAGCAGTCCAACGGTGCATGCTGCCCGGCGCTGGAGCCGACCAGGGCTCATTGTAACCTCTGTGCTCGGCGAATGCCACGTGGTGCTTCTCCCAGCTCACGAATAGCGCTCTCTGCCTTCACGGCCGTTGGAAGGGACCGGCACTTTCCGTAGTTCAATGTGGGAGCGGTGCACGAGACGGGCCGGAAGTCACGACTGGCATAAGTTTGTTCTACGGGCTGTGTGCTATGCACCGATTTCGTGCCTCGTTCGCTACGCTGAAAGATCACAGCCCGTAAGACTGTGATATCAGGCTGCACCCACTCTGAAATTCCTAGCCACAGATCACGAGACCTCCGTTAGCCGGAAGCCGAGCAGGGCTCCGCACCTGCCCTCCGTCCTCCCCGGCCGACGCCGTCCGACACCGACTGACGTGCCGCTCCCCGGCCGTGTTAACGCCGCGCTGTCCGCGCCTTGAGTGGCCGGACATGGCCGTGGGGGAGCGCCTGCAGTAGCCCGCCGTCGCCGGTGCTGACCGTACCTGTGTCGGGCAGCTGTTCCCAATGTCCGCGCCTTGAGTGGCCGGACATGGCCGTGGGGGAGCGCCCGCAGCAGCCCGCCGTCGCCGGTTCTGACCGCACCTGTGTCGGGCAGCTGTTCCCGATGGATGCCGGCACCGACCAGGGCCTGGCGTTCACCTCGCCCAACTGGGAGTCGGTGCCGCACGAGCCCATCTACCAGATCACCAGCCGGCGGCCGGACCACCCGGCCAGCAGCTTCCAGTACCCCGACCTCGACGCGCTGCCGCCGCTGGCCAGCCTGCACATCTTCAGGGTTAGTCGAGAGGCCACCGGGGTCGGCCAGGAGACATCCGAGGTCGGTCAGGAGGTGTGCAAGGTCGTTGGGAGACCTAGGTCAGTCGGGAGGTGATCGGGTTCGGTCGGTAAAGCCATCGGAGTAAGTCAGTTCGCTGAGGTCAGCCAAAAGATGGTAACCGGAGTAAGTCAGTTCGCTGAGGTCAGCCAAGAGGTGGTTACCGAGGTAAGTCAGACCACCTGGGTCAGTGACAAGGTTACAGTGGTACATCAAATCACCAGGGACAGTCAGGTCTTTAGAGTCTCAGCTAAATCATCAGATTTGCCGAATGGTTCCTAGGGTGGGTCGGTCATTAGGGTCAATTCGATGGCCACTAGGGCTGGTCGACAGCGAGGTAGCAACGCTGCATTGCCGCCCGGATGACGGGAATAACTATCTCGAGTGCAAAGGGCTCATTAATCGCACACTATGAGAGCGAAAACAATGAGCGGCAATAACCTTCCGGCTTTAAATCAAAACCTTCATGAACTTACACAATAAGGTACGTGCGCATATAACAGACCTTGGGAACACGTCTTCCCTCCCCCTTACCAAATTACGATATGTACCAAAATGTACGTGGCTAAATGCTGCCAGTTAAATATTTTAAGAAGACACATAGCATAAAAAGATCATCACGGAACGTTGCTTTGTAGCAAACAAAGAACTTCGCACCCCGCGGTGCGCATAGCTTGCCCTTTCAGCGAAATGTAATGTTGTGCCCCTTCCACTGTGAAGTCCCTGGTACGACCCTGGATACAACAGTCATTCAAATGATAGGGTAACATCACGCTTCATCAGGCAATGCCCAACCATGCAATCGAGCGCATGACGTTAACAAAGACATGAGGCACAACGCCGCTGGAGCGCGGCTGGCCGCAGCTGTCTGGGCGGACACAGAGCAGGTGGGCTAGTCCCACGCACGCACGCTGCGGAACGCGTCCGGCTGGCCGCAGCTGTCTGGGCGGACACAGAGCAGGTGGGCTAGTCCCACGCACGCCGCTGCGGAACGCGTCCGGCTGGCCGCAGCTGTCTGGGCGGACACAGAGCAGGTGGGCTAGTCCCACGCACGCCGCTGCGGAACGCGTCCGGCTGGCCGCTGCGGGATCGCCTCGGCCGCCGAGCCAGTACCGCACGGGCCGTGACACAGAGTGATAAAATGCAGATTGCGCTGATCTAAGCCCGGGGATCGAGCCAGCGCAGCCACGTCAAGGCGACGGTACCCGTCTGGGAGCGGCGCTCACCCACGGCCAATGATTCCATGCGGTTGGTGACTCGCCCCGCGCCCACGGAAGAGGTCCCGCTCGGTATGAAGTCACCGCCCTGCCGCTGGCGTGCGGCGCCTTCCGCAGCGTGTTTCCGGACTCTCAGACGCCGACTTGCGTCAGGTCGTGTCACTGTCTGAGGATGCGCTCACAGGCACGCCTGGCCGCCAGCATGTCTGAGCGTGGGTGTGCCAGTCGGTGGAGCGTAGCCAGAACTCCCTGTTCCTGCCGCAGGTGCGGTCCTACAAGCTGGCGCACGAATTCCACCAGTCCAACACGGTGGTGTACACGGTGGACACGGCGCCGCCGGAGAAGGTGCAAATCGTCACCACCACGCAGCGCTCGGTCCAGCTGCCGGGCATTCAGCTGTCGACCCAGTCGGCCAGGCCGCCGCCGGCCGGCGCCGCCGCCCGGCACGCCGACGGCAGTCTGTCCCAGGTGGCGCTGCGGTCGGACGGCGAGCCGACCAAGATCGACGGCCTGCGTCTCAAGGTGGTCAGGGCCGACGAGCTGAGCGGCGTCAAGGTGCGCAACGGAGACCGGCAGGCCATCATCGAGAAGATCACCAGCCACTACCACCACAAGCGACGCAAGTCGCGCCGCCGCCGCCGCAAACACCTCAAACGCAAACGTCAGTTCCGGCGCCGCACCCGCCTCGCATCAAGACGAGCCCCGCCTCCTCGTGACTAACCTAAAGCCCCACCCAAACGTTTAAAGATGACTTATTTAATATTTAAAAGCCTTAAGAATGCTTTGATAGATCCTTGTGTTAGCGCGTTGCTTTTATTTTGCGGCTGTCTGTCGGAGTGGATACTTCATAAACGGTCTGAACCTAGGTATAAACAGTGACTTAGCCTAAGCCAATAACCCGGTATCAGTGATAACCCAGCCGCTGCCGCATCCTCCGTTGCCACTGTCCGCTCCGCTAACGCTTGCTCGGCTCGCTGACTGGCGCCTGGTTGCAGGTGGGCCGCGCAACTGTTCAGTGGGCCCCTGGTCGGACTGGGGTCGCTGCTCGCGCGCCTGCGGTATCGGCGAGATGACGCGGACGCGGCAGGTGACGCGCCACGCGCGCCGCGGCGGCAAGCCGTGCCCGCCGCTGGAGCAGCGGCGCTGGTGCGGCTCGGCCCGCAGCTGCGACAAGCGTTACTTCAACTGGTAGCCGGCACCGCCGCGCACAGAGCGACGCCGCCCGGCCGGCCGACGGACGGCGGCGACGCTGGCGTCATCTGCGCGGGCGACGCGGGCGACATCTGCAGGGCGCCCGCCAGCCGAGGACTGCTCAGGTAGCCGCGCGGAGGCTGTGGGCGCGGACAGTTGTTTGTGGACGATCGAGAGGGGGTGGGTCTCGGAGTGCCGCCTGCCCTCTGTGGACCGTTCTAGCCCGCGCTGTGCGCTGGTTGGAGAGCGCCCGCGGTCGGAACTGACCTCCGCTGGCCGTGCTGAGCTTCGCTGGCCGCGCGGTCTCGCCGCGACAGAACGGCCTTGCCCCGCCCGTGCTGGACACGGC